ATTCTCTAAAGTTTCTGAAAGAGGTATTTTAAGTTCAGCAAGGCTGTATTTATATTATTGCATTTTCAAATAGCTGATTTGAATATAAGTTCAAATGTAATTTATTCCTGTGGTCAAAGCTGAATTTTCAGCATCATTACTCCAGTCTTCAGAGTCACATGATCTTCAGAAATCACTCTGATTTGCTGCTCAAGAAACATTTCTGATTATTCTTGAAAACAGTTCATATGTTCGTGGAAACTGACACGTTTTATTTGTGCATGATTATTTGATAAACAGAATGTTCAACAGAAATGCAATTATTTGAAATAGAACTCTTCTGTAACATTGTAAATGTCTTTACTGTCATTTTTGATCAATTTAATGCATCCTTGCTGAATAAAAGTATCTTACAGTTTCTTTAAAAATTATTGTTGAATCCAAACTTTTGAATGGTAATGTATGTATTTTTCTACACACCTTTCTGTATATGACAAATACTTAAAATTGCTTCGTTTCGCTTATTGATCAGGAGGCCTTTGTTCACCCCCCGGAGCCGTGTGAGACACTTATTATTATGGATGGGCGCTTTTTATTTAAGTTCTTTTGGACTGATGCATGCAACACCCGCTGAGTGCCATGAAACAGCTTGAAAGATCAAAGACAATTTTTAATATAACTCCGACTGGATTCGTCTGAAAGAAGAAAGTCTTATACACCAAGGATGCATCAGGGGTGAGTAAAATGCAGCCTAATTTTAATTTTTGGGTAATGAAAGTAAAGCAATAATAGTGAGACCAAAGACACAACAGCTCAAAACAGTTTAGCGATGACTGAAATCATCTAACCTCGAGACGTCTGTGTGAATGACTCTTTGGCATGACTGAAGTATTTAAGTGAAGAAGTTTTTGTTTTTTTCTTAATAACATCATACATCATTCCATCACACTCTACAGTTGTCTGTTCTACAAATCTAGTGAACCTGTAACATAACGAGAATAAACATGTATAGTTTCTGCATTTTTTAAGGTATTTAAACACGTTTAGCATGTTCACAGCTGGAATATTGTAATTGCTTGTGTCCTCAGTTTGGGAGGGAGATTCATATTATGTAATTGTGTCTGTGTAGGAGTATGTAGCCTTTGCTGTCAGTCAGCTGCTCTCAGATTTCAGATTGCTGATACAATGGAGAATTAAAGTCACTTCTCCTCTTTATAATTTCACCACCGTCAGGCATTTACCGATTGGTCACTTAATATCTTAAAATAATACCACTGTTTCCATCAGCACCATTATTTCTCTTTCACAACTCGTAGCCATCCATCCATCTGAGATGACTAATACATCTAACTCATCAGCCTGACGCTTGAGCCGCCACCTACGTCCTTAAAACTTCCCTCACATAACACTAGAAGACTGAAGCCGTCACTCCAAAACTCAAGTCGTCTCACAATCATTATAGACTTTAGTCCGGTTAGGCGCCAGGATGTGAGGGATAGACTATGGGACGCATTATATAAAGGTCCTAGATCAGATAATTATTTTCAAGTTATTATTTTTTTCCAGAAAGACTTTTCAAGAGCTGAATAATCTGTATCTTGTCAAACAACAGTGCAATCCATTGAACGCACTGTGCTTCTATCATAGCCTCGTTTTCATTCCTGTCAAAAATTAAATATGTAACCCTGGACCACAAAACCAGTCATAAGGGTCAATTTTTCGAAATTCGAATGAGCTTTCCATTGATGTATGGTTTGTTAGGATAAGACAATATTTGGTCGAGATACAACTATTTGAAAATCTGGAATCTGAGCGTGCAAAAAAATCCAAATATTGAGAAAATCGCCTTTAAAGTTGTCCAAATGAAGCTCTTAGCAATGCATATTATTAATCAAAAATTAAGTTTTGATATACAGTATTTAGGGTAGGAAATTTACAAAATATCTTCATAGGACATGATCTTTACTTAATGTCCTAATGATTTTTGGCATAAAAGAAAAATCAATCATTTTGACCCATACAATATTTTGTTGGCTATTGCTACAAATATACCTGTGCTACTTATGACTAGTTTTGTGCTCCATATGTGACCCTGGAGCACAAAACCAGTCATAAGGGTCAATTTTTCGAAATTCGAATGAGCTTTCCATTGATGTATGGTTTGTTAGGATAAGACAATATTTGGTCGAGATACAACTATTTGAAAATCTGGAATCTGAGCGTGCAAAAAAATCCAAATATTGAGAAAATCGCCTTTAAAGTTGTCCAAATGAAGCTCTTAGCAATGCATATTATTAATCAAAAATTAAGTTTTGATATACAGTATTTAGGGTAGGAAATTTACAAAATATCTTCATAGGACATGATCTTTACTTAATGTCCTAATGATTTTTGGCATAAAAGAAAAATCAATCATTTTGACCCATACAATATTTTGTTGGCTATTGCTACAAATATACCTGTGCTACTTATGACTAGTTTTGTGCTCCAGGGTCACATATGGCACTAACCTGACTAAGAGTTCACATTCACACAACAGCAAAAAAGCTGTCAGTCCTTTATTTAACCTTCACCCTTCCCTCGCGTTTTGTAACAAATCTTTCCCTCGCTGCTTGAAGGCAAGTAAACAATCCAAGTATTACTTACAAGCTAAATTATAAATAAATATATTACTCAAAAATACAATTTAAATTTTTTTTTTTTTTTTTAGCTTATATTGATCCATTTTTATCTTTTTTTTTTCTTTATATTTAGGTGGGGTTTTTCTATGATTTTTTTTGGTGATTTTTATTTAATTAAATTTTTATTTACCTTGTTTACCTTTTAATCATGCGTGTTATAATGTGTCTCTATGTGTGTGCGTGTACCATGTATGTGTGTGTGTGTGGGGGGGGGTATTCTATAGTCTCAGCTCTTCGTTTGGATATAAATTTTGTCTGGATTGTGTCAGATTTTGTATTTTTAAAAAATCAAATAAAAAAGTTTTTTTTTCGATATTTCATTCATTCCTATGGGGGCTCTAATTGACCTGCAAGGGAAGGAATTGTTTGGGGGGAGGTTTACCCACATAATGTCCTTGAATCCACTAAATTTTTGTGTGTGTGTGTGTGATCCATGTTCAAGTGTGACAACGTTTTAAAAAAAACAAAAAACTTTTTTTTCCAGTTTTTTCGACATTCCTATGGTCCGGTCGAAATGACCCACTACATTTTTTGTGTGTTCCAAATTCAAGTGGAACAAAAGTCACAAAGTCTTGTACCACTCAGATGAACACTCAATTTTTTAAAAAACTGTAAGAAAAATTCCGGGTCAAAATGACCCGAGGGAAGGATGAAGGTCAAGCAACCGAATAAACCGAACCGAATCACACCCGTACATTTTCAGAACTCACAACACGTGTAAGCAATGTGTGTTGCCTTTATTTTTTGTTAATGCATATGCTAAAACCAAAACGACCGCAGCGAATTGCACGAACTGCAAATGGTGCAGACTTCACACTTCAGCTCCCCCTCTAGAAAAAAACACAAAGAATCTAACAACTCTTCATGTATTTGCATGTGTCACATTTCAGTGGTTCTGCCCTGTTAAAGTGTCCAGTGCGGTGAAGTTACAGGCCTCTTCTGTCACGAACAATGTCTCTTTGTTCACTCTGCTGTCAGTGAAGGCCATTTTCATATGATCACGGTTTCTGCAGTTTTATGAAGATAGATTTAAAACTTTTTAAAGACCAGTAACTTTAAGGTATCACCTACACTTAAAGGAGTCATGAACTGTCTGTTTTTTATTTTGTACTGTTCTCTGAGGTCCATTTATAACGTTATCAAGATTTTTACATCAAAAAACATCATTTAGAAGTAATAAGCTTTTTTTAACCCCCCTCATCAGAACGCTCCATTTGAATATTTGACCTCTCAGTTGAACCTGTCGTTACACATGCAGTTTTGGACGTGATATTTATTCAGTTTGGATTTGATATTTATTTTCGCTGTGGTCACTGTCGCTGTGGTTATAGATGATATTCACAAGTAGAATATATGGGCTTGATACTTCGAGAATCAGACACAAAACCGTCGCGAGTGCTGCTCCAAGTGGCTTCACGACAAAATAAATTGACCTGGTGATGTAAAGCCAATAGTTTTCTGGATTTATATATATATATATATATATATATATATATATATATATATACTCTGTGGTGTCAAATCTGATATTGTGCTTTTATATAAGACTATTGCATATGTCATTATATTATTAGCGTTTTACAAAAGTCAAGCTGCAGTGGAGTTAAAAGGTTTTTGACCAGTGTTTTCCAACATTAAAGGGGTCATATGACTTTGTTAAAAAGAACATTATTTTGTGTATTTTGTGTAATGTAATATGTTTATGCGGTTTAAGGTTAAAAAAACACATTATTTTCCACATACTGTACATTATTGTTTCTCCTCTATGCCCTGCCTTTCTGAACTCATTGCCATTTATCGCAAATGCTTGATTGCAGTTGTTGCTTCAAAGGGTGGCACAACCAGTTATTATATTTAGGGGGCAATTACTTTTTCACGTAGTGCCAGGCAGGTTTTTTTCCCTTAATAAATTAAATCATAATTTCAAAACTGCAGTTTATATTTACTCAGGTTATCTTTGTGTAATATTAAAATTTGTTTGATGATCTGAATCTTTTAAGTGTGACAAATATGCAAACAATTAAAAAAACAGGAAGGGGGCAAAAACTTTTTCACACCACTGTATATATAAACTTACAGCTTATAAAGTGTATTGGAGTTATGTGGGCACTCAGTTTTTTTTTTTGTCCTCTGTCATTTGGCCGAAATAGCATGTTATAAAAGTTACAGTTAGAATAATTTACTCTGATATTCCCTTGTATTTTGTTTGTTTTAATGTATTGCTCTGATTTGTCTTCTTATGTTCTTTCTGTAAAGTGGCCACGAGTCAAAGAAAAGCACAATGTAAATAAAACTTTGAAATAATTCTGAAATAAAGTCACTGGGCAGTTTGGAGAAGTGTTAAAATTCAGTGGAATATCCTTTTAATAGAAGCAGTTTCTTAAGTATTTACTCATATCCAGATATGCAGAAACTGAGCTCGTGTGTCCATTTCTAGGTAACACTGACCACTTCCCATTGACAAGACAAAAACAGCACTCACAATGACAATGTGTCATTAGAATACTGTGACACTGAGCACATACTACTACAATTCATCATAACAACCAGAAATGACATAGAAAAATTAGATTCACATGCATTTTTGAACAAAGAAGCTAGACAATTTATTAAATAAAAAAAGCTGCCATGCTGAGTCAAGATTTAAAGGCCATCAGTACCAGAAGTATCATGTCCGTTCAAACTGAAGGAGCACAAACTTTCAGATCTTTCAGCCGAATGGATTTTGAAAACAACATCCATTTTTTGTATCTCTGAAAAGGTTGCGCAAAGTACCTGAAATCATCGTTGACACAGGTGACAGATGACACGTTTCACAGACCGGATCCAATGAGGTCAAACCAACAGTCACAACCTCCGCACATTGTTTTCTTTAAAATGAAACTTCTTTAAAAAACTGTCAAACATAATGCCAGATGTTCCCTTCCACGCATGCTGATCATTGCTGAGTTGAACCTTATGCAAGAGAAGTTTTCTTCTTCTTACGCCGCGTCTTGTTTCCCTTGAACACCACGGGAGCCAGGACTGCTGGTTCTTCAAAAAAACAAATATCCAGGATAAGTACCGCGGTAAACGGAGTTCATTACATCTGTGATGTCTGTGGTGCGATGTTACCTTATATTCTGGATGAAATGTAGGGGACCTTCAGGGCAAGCAGCTATAATTATCTCTAGAAAACATCAATTACAGTTCATATAGCTCATAAAGTTCATGCATTGTAAAGTTGATTACAAGATATGTTGTTACCTTTATTTTTTATAAATGCATATGCAAAGCCCAAAACTGCAGCTGTAAACAGAATACTCAATATCACAGAGGAAGCGCACGAACTGCAAACAGTGCAGGCTTCACACTTCTGCTTCTCCTCTAGAAAAAAAAACAAAATAAAAAAACTCAATATATTTGCATGTGTCACTTTTCAACGGCCTTGCCCTGTTAAAGTGTTCAGTGCGGTGAAGTTACTGGCTGCTTCTGTCACAAACAATGTTTCTTTGTTCACTCTGCTGACAGTAAAGGCCCTTTTCATATGATCACGGTTTCTGCAGGTTTTATAAAGTCACATTTAAAAATAGTTTTAAGATCAAGTAAATCAAATTTAAGGTATTAGCGACACTTCAAAGTTTGAAAATACAACTTCCAACCATCCCTGTTACTTAATAATTTTACCAAAAAATAAAACAAACAAATAAATAATAATAATAATAATGATAAAATAAAAAAGCTTAAGGTTTGAATAGTTGTGTGTTGAAGCAGCCGTTAGGTTTTATGTGTTTTAAGCTCAAATGTCACCAATTGTTTTGTTTTTTTTGCATACATTTTTTCGCTGTCTACTTTTCACACCTCAACGCCAAAGTAGATTCAAGTTCTGATGGGCGCGATTAGTGCATGCGTATGGCTGAACTCAGCTGTTCAAAGTACATTTAATTTGATGGCGCACGCAAATATGGGCCCTCGACACAAGCGCACTAGTGAGTTTAACTCCTGTCCAGTGATTGCGCTATTTTCACTGCAAAAGTTATGACCGATATAGATGTGTTGGTACTCATTTAATCTAGAGATTGAAATGTTTCGGCTTCACTTTTCAGGACGTGTGTGGCACACTTGGTTCAAGTCATGTTGGATAGATCGTATTTATGAGTTGAGCGCACATGAATGCCACTATAAAGTCGTAATTATGAGTGGAAAACAAATTAATTTTTTTCTTTGTCAGTGAGAAAACATGTCGGGTGCAATTTATGCAGCTTCTGTATTGAAGTAAATTTGTTAAAAGGATTTAAATTTGATATTTTTTCTTCATTTACAATAAAACTAATTAGCATGTGCAAAATACCATTAAATTGTATAATTACGATGGGACATGTATAACAACAATCCAATTTAAAGAATGTTCGTGAATTGAATAAAAACAAAGCAGAACACACTCGAAGCACATTTGTATTCATCAGGTTTTAGAAGTAGGGTTAAAGAAATTTTGCAGAATTTTATGTACATTACAATCTTGCTCGGACCAAAGTGACTTCAGTGCACCTAATGTGGTAATTACGACTTCCCAAATCGTAAATACGAACTTCCCAGGAGGACTTAAATGCACCAAGAGTACAAGCAGTTCGAAAAATCTGGCGACGTTGATAATTAAAGTTACTTCACGCACACTGTTTGCATAACCTACCACACACGTACGTCTGCAAGATGTCTGTTAAAGATCGCTTCGTCTGGAAAGCATCTGCTGTGTACAAACGTCAGTTTTACATACATTCTAAATCATAAACATCTTAAAGACATTTTCTAAACATCTATTTGATATCTTATAGGAAAGACGTCTTATTAGGGACGTATTGCAGATGAGCAACAAAATACATCTTGCAGTTGTACACGTAGACGTCAAATAGATGTCGCCGAGATGTTCGTGTGTTATCAGCATAGTGTAAGCAAACTAAATGGATTATCGGAAAAGAAGAAAATGTAGAGAGGTAACATCGTTCTATGGATTGGAAAATAACGTCTTTATTCAACAATTCGTCTCCTCCGCATCGGAGAATATCCGCTGGACGTAAACAGCGTATGCTGTTCTGTATCAACTGCGTCACGCCGGATCTGTTTCCTACGTTGTTGTGATTTGATCTGAACGGAAACAGCGTATCCGTGTGACGCAGCTGACACAGATGCTGTGGCATGACCTTAAACAGTCCATTCATGCTCAAAAACCCTCCAATGTGGCTGAATGAAAACAATTCTGCAAAGAAGAGTGGGCCAAAATTCCTGTGAAAGACTCATTGCCATTTATCGCAAACGCTTGATTGCAGTTGTTGCTGCAAAAGGTGGCGCAAGCAGTTATTAGATTTAGGGGGCAATTACTTTTTCACGTAGTGCCAGGCAGGTTTTTTTCCCTTAATAAATTAAATCATAATTTCAAAACTGCAGTTTATATTTACTCAGGTTATCTTTGTGTAATATTAAAATTTGTTTGATGATCTGAATCTTTTAAGTGTGACAAATATGCAAACAATTAAAAAAACAGGAAGGGGGCAAAAACTTTTTCACACCACTGTATATATAAACTTACAGCTTATAAAGTGTATTGGAGTTATGTGGGCACTCAGTTTTTTTTTTTGTCCTCTGTCATTTGGCCGAAATAGCATGTTATAAAAGTTACAGTTAGAATAATTTACTCTGATATTCCCTTGTATTTTGTTTGTTTTAATGTATTGCTCTGATTTGTCTTCTTATGTTCTTTCTGTAAAGTGGCCACGAGTCAAAGAAAAGCACAATGTAAATAAAACTTTGAAATAATTCTGAAATAAAGTCACTGGGCAGTTTGGAGAAGTGTTAAAATTCAGTGGAATATCCTTTTAATAGAAGCAGTTTCTTAAGTATTTACTCATATCCAGATATGCAGAAACTGAGCTCGTGTGTCCATTTCTAGGTAACACTGACCACTTCCCATTGACAAGACAAAAACAGCACTCACAATGACAATGTGTCATTAGAATACTGTGACACTGAGCACATACTACTACAATTCATCATAACAACCAGAAATGACATAGAAAAATTAGATTCACATGCATTTTTGAACAAAGAAGCTAGACAATTTATTAAATAAAAAAAGCTGCCATGCTGAGTCAAGATTTAAAGGCCATCAGTACCAGAAGTATCATGTCCGTTCAAACTGAAGGAGCACAAACTTTCAGATCTTTCAGCCGAATGGATTTTGAAAACAACATCCATTTTTTGTATCTCTGAAAAGGTTGCGCAAAGTACCTGAAATCATCGTTGACACAGGTGACAGATGACACGTTTCACAGACCGGATCCAATGAGGTCAAACCAACAGTCACAACCTCCGCACATTGTTTTCTTTAAAATGAAACTTCTTTAAAAAACTGTCAAACATAATGCCAGATGTTCCCTTCCACGCATGCTGATCATTGCTGAGTTGAACCTTATGCAAGAGAAGTTTTCTTCTTCTTACGCCGCGTCTTGTTTCCCTTGAACACCACGGGAGCCAGGACTGCTGGTTCTTCAAAAAAACAAATATCCAGGATAAGTACCGCGGTAAACGGAGTTCATTACATCTGTGATGTCTGTGGTGCGATGTTACCTTATATTCTGGATGAAATGTAGGGGACCTTCAGGGCAAGCAGCTATAATTATCTCTAGAAAACATCAATTACAGTTCATATAGCTCATAAAGTTCATGCATTGTAAAGTTGATTACAAGATATGTTGTTACCTTTATTTTTTATAAATGCATATGCAAAGCCCAAAACTGCAGCTGTAAACAGAATACTCAATATCACAGAGGAAGCGCACGAACTGCAAACAGTGCAGGCTTCACACTTCTGCTTCTCCTCTAGAAAAAAAAACAAAATAAAAAAACTCAATATATTTGCATGTGTCACTTTTCAACGGCCTTGCCCTGTTAAAGTGTTCAGTGCGGTGAAGTTACTGGCTGCTTCTGTCACAAACAATGTTTCTTTGTTCACTCTGCTGACAGTAAAGGCCCTTTTCATATGATCACGGTTTCTGCAGGTTTTATAAAGTCACATTTAAAAATAGTTTTAAGATCAAGTAAATCAAATTTAAGGTATTAGCGACACTTCAAAGTTTGAAAATACAACTTCCAACCATCCCTGTTACTTAATAATTTTACCAAAAAATAAAACAAACAAATAAATAATAATAATAATAATGATAAAATAAAAAAGCTTAAGGTTTGAATAGTTGTGTGTTGAAGCAGCCGTTAGGTTTTATGTGTTTTAAGCTCAAATGTCACCAATTGTTTTGTTTTTTTTGCATACATTTTTTCGCTGTCTACTTTTCACACCTCAACGCCAAAGTAGATTCAAGTTCTGATGGGCGCGATTAGTGCATGCGTATGGCTGAACTCAGCTGTTCAAAGTACATTTAATTTGATGGCGCACGCAAATATGGGCCCTCGACACAAGCGCACTAGTGAGTTTAACTCCTGTCCAGTGATTGCGCTATTTTCACTGCAAAAGTTATGACCGATATAGATGTGTTGGTACTCATTTAATCTAGAGATTGAAATGTTTCGGCTTCACTTTTCAGGACGTGTGTGGCACACTTGGTTCAAGTCATGTTGGATAGATCGTATTTATGAGTTGAGCGCACATGAATGCCACTATAAAGTCGTAATTATGAGTGGAAAACAAATTAATTTTTTTCTTTGTCAGTGAGAAAACATGTCGGGTGCAATTTATGCAGCTTCTGTATTGAAGTAAATTTGTTAAAAGGATTTAAATTTGATATTTTTTCTTCATTTACAATAAAACTAATTAGCATGTGCAAAATACCATTAAATTGTATAATTACGATGGGACATGTATAACAACAATCCAATTTAAAGAATGTTCGTGAATTGAATAAAAACAAAGCAGAACACACTCGAAGCACATTTGTATTCATCAGGTTTTAGAAGTAGGGTTAAAGAAATTTTGCAGAATTTTATGTACATTACAATCTTGCTCGGACCAAAGTGACTTCAGTGCACCTAATGTGGTAATTACGACTTCCCAAATCGTAAATACGAACTTCCCAGGAGGACTTAAATGCACCAAGAGTACAAGCAGTTCGAAAAATCTGGCGACGTTGATAATTAAAGTTACTTCACGCACACTGTTTGCATAACCTACCACACACGTACGTCTGCAAGATGTCTGTTAAAGATCGCTTCGTCTGGAAAGCATCTGCTGTGTACAAACGTCAGTTTTACATACATTCTAAATCATAAACATCTTAAAGACATTTTCTAAACATCTATTTGATATCTTATAGGAAAGACGTCTTATTAGGGACGTATTGCAGATGAGCAACAAAATACATCTTGCAGTTGTACACGTAGACGTCAAATAGATGTCGCCGAGATGTTCGTGTGTTATCAGCATAGTGTAAGCAAACTAAATGGATTATCGGAAAAGAAGAAAATGTAGAGAGGTAACATCGTTCTATGGATTGGAAAATAACGTCTTTATTCAACAATTCGTCTCCTCCGCATCGGAGAATATCCGCTGGACGTAAACAGCGTATGCTGTTCTGTATCAACTGCGTCACGCCGGATCTGTTTCCTACGTTGTTGTGATTTGATCTGAACGGAAACAGCGTATCCGTGTGACGCAGCTGACACAGAACAGC